AAAAGGGAAAAATCGGTGACATGTCATAGTCCCAACTGGCAAAATCCCAAGTAAAAAAGTTGGGATTATGACACTCCCCTTGCAGTGTCATAATCCCAATTTTTTTACTTGGGACTATGACACGCAGGCTGGGTGTCATAATCCCAAATAAAAATTAGACAAAATCCCAAGTTAAAAAAAGTAACAAATTTTTTTTTGCACATTTCGTAAAAGGGAAACCAGCTCAAATGTGTCAAAATCCCAATTGGGAGTATGACACTCCCTCTGCAGTGTCATATTCCCAAGTAAAAAAATTGGGATTATGACACTGCAGGGGGAGGTGAAATGAATAACAATTAAATGCACATTCACAATGACAAATAAATTCATATGAGAGATAAGGCCATATGGCTTTAACTCACAATTGACAAAAAAAAAAATATGGCATTATCTCTCAATACGAAGCGTGATAATGCCATATGGCTTTACCTCGCAATTTGATGGGAGATAGAGCCATATGGCGTTATCTCGCATGGCTTTATCGCACCCGACCTACATATTTATGTATAAAACTAGTTTGAGAAGAAAACTAGAGGTTGAGGTGAATATTTGGAAAAAAATTATAGATAATTTTTGTCAAAAGATGTCGGTCTAAATTTAAATGGTTGCAAATCAATCAAATATGAAAAACCACATGCATTTTTTTTAATATACTAAAATAATAATAGATTGGCAGTTACATGTATGCTACACGGTAAAAATGTTGGGGTTAATTTTTAAACCGAGCTGGGACTGCTGCCTTTTTAATCTTTTTTAGTCTACTTTTTAAACCAGTCAATAGTTTTAGTAAATTTTTTAATATATCGAGGGCTTATATTCGATACCCTCTTTCTGCAATTTTCACAAAAACTACTTTGCGATGTTAGAAGCCATCTGGACTTTACCTGTCATCACTGATGTTAATTCTGATTTTGGAATTTAAGATAAAATTCTTCTGTCAAGCGTTATCAAGGTCAGCATTAATATCACCGATGACAGTTAAGTCTAAGATCAAGATCTCATTTTTGTGAATAGTGCATATAGAGGGTATTGAATACAAGCTCTCGATATTCTGGTTTAAATTTTAGTCCAAGCAGCCGAGAAAATGAAGTTTTCTATAAGTGGTTTAAAATAAAAACCAAATACTTCGTGATTTCAAATATAGGCCCTATTTTTTTTAAAATCAAACCAAAATGTTTTAATCCTAGTTTCTAGCTTCATATATAGAAAGTTTTGTTTAAAATCTAAACCGAAATGGAACATTTTTGGGTTTAAAATTTTAACCGAACTGTTTTGTTCTTTATTATTACTAAAATATGCGTAATAAATATGCAAAAACAGGATTTTTTGCAAAGTATGCAAAACCACGCATTTACTGCAAAATATGCACCAATAACAGATCCATTTAAAAGGAAATTTCATGATTCATAAAGATAACTCAACCATTTCCATTGAAGATGCCCAATAAAAGCATGCAACTTAACTTCGGGTGAGCCCGGTTCACGTTTTAAAAATAATTTTAAACGTACGTCTTATTGCAAGACTGATACCAAACTGAACTTTATTCGAAAATAATCTTATTGCTTAAAATTATGTTTACATGATTTCTTAGCCATAATTTCAAATTAGTTCTTTGGGAATTGCATTATTGAACATATTGAGTTTCATTCTTAACAAAGTCACTATTTATTCACCTGCAGTTTGTTGCCATTGCAACTTTATTTCTTAGTCATAGCTTCAAATTAGTTTTTTTGGAATTGCATCATTTAACATATCAATTTCATTCTTAGTAAAATCAACTTAATTGAAAGGCAAAGGCTACTGTTTACTCCCACCTTTCATTAAAAGAATCGTCTCGATTCTTCAATTTGGCTTGTTAAATGATTTATTTCTATAGTGGCTCATGCAGCAATTCTTCTTGTTTTTTTTATGATCTGTTTTTATTCCAAACTTTATATATTTTATAAATTTTGAAAAATACATATATTAAAATATTACAAATATATTTGTTACAAAGGTCCAAAATGCAGAGTGTGACTTTATTTCAGTTTTTACAGAATTAATTAGATTCACATTTTGAAATTTTAAATTATTATTCTGAACATATTTCCAAATTTTTTAATAAATATTTTCATATACTTTATTATCAATATTTGTGTAATTTTCAAAAGTAACAAAGTAAACTACATTTACGTCATGCTTGTCAATTTTATGATTTTCTGAAACTAAAATCGCTCCTTTAATTGCATCTATTTCTTTATTTTTTTCTCTAATCTTTTTATATTTAGCTCTTTTCTCTAATAAACATCTGATTAATAAATATTTGTATTATTAATAATTACATATTCTGTTTTACATTTTGCAATTTAATTTCCAATTAACAATTTACCATCTGTTTGTGCAATTGCTCTTACTTCATAATACTTACAATCAAGAAAAAATTTCCGATACTTCCTGCAATTACATCTTTATTTTGTAATATTTTAAAATCCTCCTTTTTCACTTTGAGTTATATTTGTTAATTCATCAAAATGTAAAATTGCTGCTCAATTCTTATTTTTGCCATAGATATTGTATGAACTAGATTTTGTAATTAAATCATTAAAAATTTATATTTTTTGGTTCCATTAATAATTTAGGGTGGTATTATCACTTGCGAAGCGAATAACCGTTCGCTTCGCCAAATTCGTTCACAAGTAATAATACCACCCTTAACATGCGAATTTTCATTTATATTTTTAATTGTTTCTGTTAATCGTAATAATAATAAAAGTAATAATTTTAAAAATTTCAGAGTTGGTTGTGTTTTGCTTATTGTAGTTTTCGATTAGTTCATTTAATTAATATTAATTAACACTAAATCATCATGATCAGGTGTTCCTGCTATCCATTTCCATAATTTTCCTAATTCATTTATAACTCTTTTATGTCCTTTATCTTTCTTTTGTAATTGCTCTAACAAAGCTTCTATAAGTTTAATTTCTGGTTCTGAATCAAAATTATTAATATATATTACATCATGTTCACTTTTTCTTGTAAATTACCATATCCGTATTTTTCATTATAATAATTTTTGTCTGAGGTTATTAGTTCTTCAAAATATGTCAAATTTGTGATATGAAAAAGGTCTCCATAGTCATTATACAAAGCTACATCTCCATCCTCTATTAAGCTAAGCGTACACGGTAGAGAAATATCTCTAGAGTTTTACTGAAATAAAAATCTCCTGTCTCAATTAAGTTTACACGGTAGAGCAACTCTTGGAGATATTCCCTCTAGCTAGAGACAAAATAGAGAAATCTCAACTTTTATCTATCACGTACTCTACAAGCTGTGTACACGGTAAACAATAGTTACCTCTCGCCTAGAGTTAGTTTTCTATCTCGAATTGTTGTCAACGCTTGTTGCATGTATGTATATGTATTTATTTCAAAGCCACGATGTAGAAAATATAGTTTGCGCCATCAGCGGAGCGCTAACCTTTCGTCGATTTGACAGCATTCACCTTTTTTCTGACGTCATAAAATACATTTTCGCAATATGAACAAGAATTGAATTTTCAAACTGTACTTATTTGCCGAAAAAAATGTTACCTAAAAGTAGACAAATGTATCTAAAAATTAAGCATGGCAACCTCTCTCTTCGGTACTATGAGTACTTTTGGACTCACATTAAACAATCTTTAATATTTAAGATTCCCTTGAAAGGAGTTTCTCCGAGAAGTTCCAGCCAAACTACTAAAGGGTGAACACACCAAAACTGCGACACTTTGGGAAGCTTATAACTTACCCAAAAAGATTTCAATATTTTAAAATTCAAATACCATAAGTTGACCATGACCTTAGTTGTACGTAGAAGAAATTTCATTTGAATTTGATTCCTAGTTGAGCTAAAAATGGCAACCGAGTTAGAAACGAGACAAACCATTTTGCACGAGTTTATAAATGATCCGGCCTTAAGTACACGTAAAATTGCTGAAAGCTTAAGACGGCACTATTCGACAGTTTGCAGGGTTTTAACCGGTACAAATAAGGCCTGGCATTTACGAGAAAACCAGGGAGCGGGGGTTAGCATGGTCAAAGTGATAAAAACAGTGCTCGAAAGGTCCTCAGTGCGTTTTCGCGAGATCCGAAGGTTTTGTCGCGTTATGCTGCAAAATCCGTACGGAGATCGCAGTTTTTCGTACAAAAGGTAAAGCTTCATTGAGATGTTCTACAGCTCAAACAGCGCCAAACTGAGGCGCAAAGTAGAATGTTACAACGAAATCCCGCAATCGGAAGTTGTATGAATTCTAAATTAAAAAAATTCAACTGCATTGTTATGGACTACAAAACCTACTGCTTTAAAAATTCAAAATATATTGCAGGT